TTGCTATTGCTATTGCTATTGCTATTGCTAACCCTGCCCCAAACAACAAAGGCTGATAGCGGGATCTCTCCTTATAATCATCACTGGCTTGTATTGACCTTGGAGAAAGGAGACAAAGTTGTGCAATACAGTACCACCCATCCATGATACCCAGAGTCAATCCAGAAAAAAATGTTTGGAATAACAAAAAGATAATACTTGACTTGTGACCACAATGGTGACTAGAATTTCTGTTGCTAAGCCAGGCAGTTGTTAAGCATGTCTGATTTTTATGACCATTTTGCCAAGATTATTAAATAAGTCATACAATTGTGAAGTGAATCCAGCTTCCTCCATTGACTTGTCTTGTGGGAAGTCAACTAGGAAGGACACAAGTAGTAATTATGTGACCCTGGTATGCTGCAGTCCAATGTAAACACATGCTGGCTATCAAGCACCAAATTTCATCATATAATTATGGGGACGCTGTTATGGTTGTAAGTACAGAGGGACCTCAGGTCCCAAATGGCTCAGATAATGAACAATTGAGGTGCCGATCGAAAAATCTGCTAAATGCTTAACTCATGTCATGACCACATCCTCAGGTGCCGAATAAACAGAGCCATAGCAATTTTCCATGCTGCGTAATTTCCCCTGCCATGCCATTTTGTGTGTGTGTGTACACACGCGCAGTTTGTCTTGCTTCTGGTCATGACCAAATTGGGTGCCAACCGAATGGATTACGGTTAGCACCCGAGGTTCCACCATATAAAGATCTGTTGTGATTTTTTTCTTTTTCTTTTTAAAAAGTTTTTTTTATTAGATAAACATTAAAAACATGGGACATAATGCGACATTTCTGGCATAAAAGTTTCCATATAGTGGTTATAACAATTACATTTTATATCCATTACATAGGTGTATGTAGTCAGTCAGATTACCTGTCCGTTGATCCTTTCTTTTATATAATTACTAATCATACAAATACATATCCAATTCTTACCTATTACACATTCTTAATACCACATTTTCCAATGCTTGACTTGTCTGTGTTTTTCTATCCTGGCCTTTTCCCCTCATTTCTAACCATTGGTACCATTTGTCCCAGATTTTGTGATATTCTGTCTCACCCTTGTCTTTTAGCTCTAGAGTCAGTCTGTCCATTTCTGCACACATCAGTATCTTATTTATTATTTCTTGTTCCGAGGGAGTCTTTTTATTTTTCCATTTTTATGCAAAAACCAGTGTTGCTGCTGTCAAAATATGCAGCATTAAGTGATCCCTAGTAGAAATAATTCTGGCCTCAACTCCATCCTTCGATTTAACATCTCTTCCAAATACTTTCTTATCTGGTGTCAAAAAGTCCCAGCTTTTGTTCACTCCTACCACATATTGTTGTGATTTTTTTCAACGTCACTGTAACT